ATCCCTATTGTATAGGGCTGTCCCCTCAGGTTCTGCACTTTTTGCTACACTAGTCTACTTTTTCTGTACTTTTAGCTGTCATTACATGGTCTACTTTTTATTTATTATTATTGTTATTATTACTATTATTATTATTTTTTAATGTTCTGTTTCCTCTTTCTTTATGCCTTCCTGGAGAAATGCTTCTGTTACGATATATCTGCTACTTGGATCAATTTTACATCTCTTAGGCTTTGGAAGTCCTTCACTTGCAGTCTCAATTCAACTTTTTCTTGTTGGGATGAATTGAGACAAAATTATTCATTATACAGAAGGAAAAATATTAGAAACTTTATTTCTGTTTAATTCAAATCAAAGCTGAACTATTTAACAATAAATACGAAAAAAGGATCTAAAATCTCAAAATAACTTCAGGAGAGTAAATTTACGAAAACTATTGGTTTTGTAAAACAATGGATCTTACATGCTTTTAACAACTTCCAACTGAAAAATTGTAAATATATAGTTTGTAGTTATAGTCTACAGGAAAAGCATGAGCACAACAGGAAAAACATGTTGAATCAAACAATTTCACAATATTAACTGTCTATTCACCCCACAAAGAGAGTAGTCTCAATACAACCCACTCAATGCTACATTTTACTGCTTAATCCAATGCAATTACAAGTACTTGTGCACCTCATTGGATCACGTGTCAGGCACTGCACATCAATCAGAAGCACAGAAAACATACAACTTCCCTGCTCTATACAGTTTTGGCAGGAGCATATATGATTTTCCAGTGAATGAGGCTCAATAGAAACTTTAACCCTACTTTGGAAAGACTGTAACCACTCAATCACTGCAGTAAACACCAAAGGCTCAAACAACTGTTTAGTGCAGGCTTGAAATCCATAGTATGGGTGTACATGGCACCTGGAAAGGAGCCAAGTCATGCCATGGAATGTATGTATATCCTACTCATTGACAAAGGGGTAAAATACTATACCCATATATATAATATATATTACATGGTATGTATCATGATATTTAGTATATAATACAGAATATAGTCCCTCAAGACAGGATAGTAGACAGGAAACCAGGAAACAAGATCATTGTGCCATGTAGTAACCATTCTGCACTGAGATAGTGAAAGCAGCTCCCTACACAAACGGAGGAAACACAGAAACAAGTTACAAAACCAGGAAATATCCTATTGCCATATGCCCCCCCAAGGTGGCCTGGCCAAGCAATCCCTCAAGTAATGTTCCCAGTCCTGTTACAATGTGGGAGGGCCAAAGAGGAAGGAATTTAGCTCTGGGATAATGTCATACATGCACAGCCACTCCACTTGCTGTTCTCCAACCCTCATTGCCTCACTGCTTCCCTCCCCATCACATCCTACCCCTCCTTAGGTTCTCCTGGCTTCCCCAGGTGCACATCTCTCCTGGGCTCTTCTTGGACTTCCTCACAATTAGCAATGAAGAAATCTAGTTTCGAGTTCAGAATTCCCTTAAGAATACACTTCATTTTTTTCATCTTGCTTTTAAGCTATCCTTATAGCAGATATTGAATCATTAGATGAAAGCCATGACAGACTAAATGTTATCAGGTTATAATAAAATGTCCTAAAAGCATGTAAACATTCCTTATCAGGGTTTGAAGGTGCATAAAAACAGATATAGAAAGTGGCACCTACAAACACCTGTGGCAAGTCCATGTGGCAAAGCAGTAAATTTGAAACTGCCCACAGAAATTACAGTTGGAACACTGATAGAAGTTCTGGATATGTATATATGCATATGTATTGCATATGTATTGTATATGTATGTACATGTAAATTTGTAGATATCCATGCTTACTTTTACATGCATGGTACTCTTTACTGTATTTCTAACAATAAACTTTGTCCAGAACTTGCAAAAAGTTGAGTGCACAAATCTATGACTGGAAAGTAATAATTATCCTTTAATACGGTTAACCTTTCTTTTCCAAAATTATACTCAATGTAAAGCAATAGACCACTGCAGAACACTTATGCTATGCCAGATCTACGACTGTCATATACTCATAAATCCATAAATGAGTGGCAGAAACAGGACTTAGGAGCATTAGGTAAGGCTAGTTTGGAGCAACCCATGAGGAGGAAACCAGCCTGTGATGAAATACGACTTGAAGATAGTCCTCAGCTTTCACCAAGGTCATGACAGTTTCTATAATACAGCAATCTTTATTTTCAGTCTTCTACGTGGAACAAATTTTATATGACTAATGCTATCTGTACCCCCAAATGGGTTGTTTGGATGCTGCTAGAGTAAGGGTCTAGGATTGTGGGGATTTGTTAAAGAACAGGTTCCCCATTAATTCTTGTTTTGAGAATTTTGTTGCAAAAAGATGGCTCAACAAGGAGACAATACATAAGTGCTAGTGTATTCACCTATTATTACCAATTCCTCATAAATAACAATGGCATTACAAAGAAAGAGAGAAAGAAGGGGGGGAGGGGAAGAAAAAAAGAAGAGAGAAATAATAATAATAAAGAAAGGAAAGAAGAAAGAAGAAACACACACACATTTATAAACAAAATTACAATGGACAGTACATGTAACTGGTGATGATTGTTTAATACTTTCTCTCCTTTTATGATATTTTTCTTGCAGGAAATGCTTATTCATTTTAAATGTTACCGCACTCACAGAATTTACAAAATTTTCAATTCTAAAATAGAATCTATTGCTACCCATAACAAAAAAGGGTCAATTACTGTATTAAAAAAAAATCTATCTCTATTAAAAAGGAACCACCTACTATACCAAGACAGATTTAGTTACCATAAAAAGAAAGAAAGAAAGCAGCAGCCACATGAACTATTACTCATATCAATAAAAAGGAATACTTATAGGAAAATATGATATTAACACTATTTCTCAACTCACCCTGAAGAGTTGTGGTTGGTTTTCTATCATGAAGGCAACAGACGTGCTCAGGGTGCCAGAGAGATATTGCAAGTCATTGGGAGCCATCTGAAAAATTATTTATAAAATGACATAATAACAAACAAAACAGAGTTCTATACATCTATATACTTATCCATATGTATACAAAAAATGTGTGTAATGATGACAATAATAACACACTCATTAATCACTAACTTTTCTTGGACACAAAATGTGAGGAGCAAACATCGTTCCAAGATTGATGGCTGACATTAGATTTTGCTCCTTGTGGGCTGCAACTCGGTTGAGCAGAATGAGGAGGTCCTGTAATAGCTGATAATTTTCTGATGGAAGTAGCAGGAACAGGAGACGAAGGGCCTTAACCTGACGGCTTTGTGCTGCCTCCTTCTGTTCTTGACTCATATGTGATTGGTGCATTTCTGTTGAATGAGACAGGCCAAATGTTTTAGTTACTATCAAAGAATTTTTTGCAGACCAGATGTGCATGATTTTATTAAAAACTATTTTCATGATTTCTGCCTCCTTGAAGTAATGGTTGCATGCTAACCATGACTTCCATAGAAAAGATGCATATGTTTTTGGTGCGACTAGAATGAACTCCCCCCTCCTAAATTACTCTCCCCTTTGTTGTCCTATGCAAGCAAACAAACAAAGCCCTATTGTAAATACACAATCAAATATATGTATACAGATTACAAATAAATATAAAAATACTTTATATCAAAGTAAAGTGAAGAAGAGGGAGAAGAAGAAACTTATAACTATGAATCATTCACTACACCTCTAAAATTCCTATAGTAATTTTCTGTACCTCACTTAGATGGGATCTGTCCAGCCATACAAATCAACTCCTTACCTGCAATTTTACAATGGATTGAGTAGTGTGCTTCTGTCAGCAGAGGCTCAGGTAGGTCAGCCAGGAAACTTTTGAGGACAGAGGCACAGTCATGAGCAGAGTATACACCATAGTCTAAATTGAGATCACCACCAGAATTGAGAAGATTTTTCAATTCTTGCTGCCGAGTCAAACTTCCACTCTTCCGAAACAGACCTTCTTGTGTAATATCTGTAACAGGGGATTCATTCATAATAATCTCATCTAAATGAGTATATATAAAATCTTTATTCTTAATGTTTTGAATTTGAGAGGGATTTCAACACACATCAATCTTCACTTACTATAGTCTTTGTTGAGGTAATGTATTAACTGGAAAGCCTGGCAGACACCCTCCTGGGTAAGTGGTGCCCCCTCCATCACCCCTTTGCCGTTGCCAGATCTACCCAGGCGGCGTATTAAAGGTGTTAGGTGCCATCGTCTCCCTGGTGGCTGCTCTCGCATATCACATCTGCGAATGTGTACAGCAATTCTTCTTCTTTCATTAAATTAAACAATTCATACATATCTCTTCAACAAAATTTATAAATTGTTAAAAGTTGTCTAAAAGGAACCTATCAAGTGATTATAAGCAGAATGATATGCACAAAAGAATAGAGGACTTAGTTATGAATGTTAGTCCATATATATATATATATATATATATATATATATATATATATATATATATATATATATATATATATATATATATATATATATATATATATATATATGTATATATATATATATATATATATATATATATATATATATATATATATATATGTATATATATATATATGTATATATATATATATGTATATATATATATATGTATATATATATATATGTATATATATATATATATATATATATATATATATGTATATATATATATATATATATATATATATATATATATATATATATATATATGTATATATATATATATATATATATATGTATATATATATATATGTATATATATATATATGTATATATATATATATGTATATATATATATATATATATATATATATATATATATATATATATATATATATATATATATATATATATATATATATAATACACTAGCAGAAAGCTAAATATTAGCATATACCACACAGCAATATATATATTGGTGATGAAAGTATCTCTTATGAAAATAGAACCACTGTGCC